GTGCGATATTCCACGGCCGACAGTCCCACCAACTGTCCTGTGCTTGACTTCGCAGAGGCATCACGCTCGGCCTTGAAAGTGTACAGGAGCGTCTTGCCAGTCATGTACACTCGCCGTTCTTCAGGGGAGACTCCTGCAGCACGACTGCTTCGGTTTCGGCGAAGGAAACACCCTCAAGGAGAGTCCTCTAGTTTGGGGGGTTTTGATGCCCAGTGCTCCTTATCTTGCTTGCGACGGGGTGAGTACGGCTGGGCAAGTTCTGGCGGCCAAGGAGTAGCGATGACGGGGGACTACCGAGTCCACACACTAGGGAGGAAGGGTATACTCGGATCCCTGCCACGCCAATTGGATCGCCGCACCCACCTGAGTCCTCGTCACCCCTGGAGGCACCAGGCTGAGGCGACGATCACGAAACTGTGGTGTTTCAAGGACCTCATACATCAGATTGTAGAAAGTGTTCTTCCAGACTTTGGCTTCAAGATATTCTCAAAGCCTGCATCTTCACTCTTCCACTTTGATGCATGCTTATGTCCCTTGGCAAGGCCTTGCGCTTTGGCAATTAACAACTTCCACCTTCACTTCCGGGATGTGCGAGAGACCGATTGAACATCGAATTCATCAGGGGCAAAAAGGCGCAGTGTTTATCTCGAGAGCTAACCAGCAGTTTTAGACGACCGTTAAACATGGGTTTTTTTGTGCTGCCACCTTTCCTTTGATGATCTCAAGTTCGCCATGACCGAGTATTTTACATCAGCCGCCCACCGCTACTGAAATTCACTGAATCTTCTGCAGTCATTTCAGTGAGTTTGGACAACGTAAGAGAATTGAAAATGGTTTTGGAACCCGTAGTGGGTCGTTTGTTCGGGGTCATTTATTTCTCAGACTTACATATTCTTCAAGTAAAGCCCGAAATTGCGATATATAATCTGAAGGTTGTGTCCATGCCTTTTGAAGATTAGTTTTTCTCCAGCTGAGTGACCATAGTTGTTTGGGAGGCCATCGAGTAAACGAACATGGCCGCCAAGTGGGCAGGTGTGTGTCTCCAAGTGTCCCTAAAGGTGTTAGGTCGGCTCCAAGGTTCAGTAAAACAAGGCCACCCGATTCTTGGGCCTAAGCGGCAGCTGATGCAGTGCAGTCGTGCCTGTGACAGGATCAGCCTCCGCGTTCACCGAAATGGCCCCTTCGTTATCAGAAGAAAGGACTGCACGAGGGCCAAGTGCGACGCACAGCAGCGTCCTTCTCACGAGCTCTTTTAATATTTTTAGGGTGTCTCTGACCAGGGTGACTCAGGGCGCCAGTGCCTTTGGTACAGGTCATGGGGGAGGGACTGGATCGTTCTGAAGAGGCTTATCTTCTTATGCCCTGTTGTCTTTTCCTTTGCTTGACTTAGAATTCTACTTCTTGCTCGTAAATCCCATCTGTAATGAATAAATCCATGGGTATTTTAATAGAGCTTCATCTGTACGGAATATTTTAAGCCAAGACAAAAATATCTGAAGTGATGATTTTGATATTATTTTCTTTTACATAAAAAGAAGATGCAGTCTTGTCTTTAAAGGGGGGGCCCCTTTTTTTTGTCTCATAGTTATATTAAGAAATGTGTGTGCAATACTTTATAAAGCAATCAAGGTTCTAAATGCTCTCAGAATGAAAGAAATGGTGACAGGTGCAAGTAAGTTTCAACGAAATTTCTTAGTATTTATATAATATAATGCACAAATCAGTACATTTTCATGCAAGCCCCAGTATTAATCTACAAAGGAGGACAATAAAGAGATACAAGCCTAAGCTACTGGTTATAGGGGGCTCTAGAATATGATTACTTAAGATTTTCTCCTAGAACCGTGAATTTGCTTCGGAAGACCTTAGCTTACCTTTTCCAGCTCTTGTCTATGGGGGAAAGCGTGAGTCACGTGGAGTGGCCTGTAGGTCCCTAAAATAAAGACTCGCCGGGGTTGTAGCCATGAAAGGGAATGAGCCTCTGGTTTCCCTCCCGCACTGCCGCCGCCATGGGAGACATCCCACTGCACACATCACGTTCCAGTGGGCCACCGCTACCCGCCTGCTGTAGGAAGAGAGCGTCAAGGCAACAATTGCTCGTGCAGTTTAGACCATGAGCTGGTGAGGAGCTGCTGCTGCTGTGGCTGCCTGATGACTGGGCGGGCCATGCTGCCTTCCACGGTGTGCGACTCTGCAAAGCGTTAGAAAGCAGTCGATACATCCACGTAACTCAGCGGACCCCTAAAGAGTGTTTTATTCCTGCAAGGACATCTCCATGTGATGGACAAGAAGTAAAGGATTATCTGTCAGCGACCAGTGAGTAATTTGCACCACCTGCTTGTGAGTATTTGACTTTATCCATGGTTTATTTTGAAGTAGTACAGGAAAAAAGAAAAAGGATATATACTCTGGTGAGAGCATGCTGACCATAGCGGTTACTCAGGAGATGAGCAATGCAACTTGCACTAGATTGAGCCACGGTGAAAGTGATGTTGAAAGACGCCCGGCAGTAGTAGAAAAACTCACAATCCTTGGCGGTTTGGAGTGATTGCGAGAAACGAGGCTGTGTGTACTGTACTCCCCTGTGGGCTCCAGAGGGGCACCGCCTTCATCCCGCAGATGGCTTTTTTGACATCATCACAGTGCTGATTACGCCTAGCAGCTCTCATACAACTCCTATGACTTTTTCTGTCTAACAGGCGTGACAACTTTAGTTCTGCTGCGGTATAGGACAGATGGCACACATTTCTTTCGAAACCCTTCACCTTTGCTTCTCGGACACAAACTTGACGCAAATACATCATGTCGCGTCATAGCCTGGCTGTTAAGAGCTTCTGCAACTTGGAAATGGCCATTTGGATGGCCAGGCTTCGTCTGCGTTTGGCCACGGTGGGTGAGCACCCCAGGTACACGCCACACATTTCAATCAAGACCTCGACTGCTTTTGGTGCCTAAAAACGGCAGCCAAGGCAGGAAGGTGTGTCAGCGGGAAATCTGGTAAATGGCCATCCAAGGGCCTGGGAATTACATCCTTAAGGGTAAACCATTCATGCGCCCGCACAACTGAAGTCAGATTCCTGTGGTCATATTCATATACCTCTTGGCTGTCTCCCTGCAAATTTAATATCAATCATGAATGATCAAATAAATATTTTTGGTGCCAAAAATATATTCTTTGACTTATATTCTGCAGATTCAAAACTACTAAATTATACTCCCTCCTGTACAATCTTCATAAAAACACAAGACATCAGAGAGACAAAGCATAAGAATCGGTACATCTAACCTACGGACATTGTCATAATAAAGGGCTACATTACATGCAGTTTCTTCCTGGGTAATGATATCGGATTTGAGTCCTGGAGTTCAGGAACCACCAGCGGATGTCGTTCATCCCCCACACGTCTGCGCAATTATCCGGTGTGTGGCCATTCTCATCTCGCGCGTTGGGGTCCAGCCCATACTTGATGAGCAGCTTGGCCGTGCTCTTGAGACCCTGCATGGCTGCCATGTGGAGAGCCGTCATACCCGTGGACGACCGGGCATGACGGTCACAGCCAGACTCGATCAGCAGAATTACCAGGTGATCGTGGCCATGTTGGGTCAGCAGTGTGCAGGGGCGTGAATTTCCTTGGCGAGCAGACGTCCGATGTTGGCGCCCGAAGCGAGCAAGGCGCCAATGCCAGCTTCATCGCCTCTATATGCTGCCATATGCATGGGGCTGAAGACTGGAAAATGATGATTTACTTGTGTTCTATCCAGCAATTAAGCTTACATTATGCACTGTGCGAAGTATGTACAATATTCCACTCCCTGCCATGTGTCAATATATCACCTCTATAGAACCTGTTTGATGTATCAGAATAGTTAAAGTTCAGCCATAAGCTTCAAATCTGAAGGTGATAGAGAAAGAAATTGTACAGTAAAACACATATTCACAGTTAATCTTATCTGTATAACTACGACCCAGTCTGTTAGTAATGTTCACTCTGGATAGAACTTAGACTGAATTCTTGTAAAAAAAAATACTGTCACCTACATTAATTGAATGAGACTTTCAAGAATCCTCTTCACAACCAGTAGTAGAGAACATCGTTTGTAGAGGACGTGTAACTATAGAAGAGCCCTCAAACATAATAAACCTACAGCCGAAAATGATTACTCCGGCGATTACGAGCTTTCTCAGCTCACCGAAAACCTCCTGTGGACATGCAGTCGTGTCCGAGCCAGCCTTTGCCAGGAAGGGGATGATCGGGCTCCGCCATAGGCGCAGCGGCGTGAGTGGCGTGTACCCTATCTCCCCCGCCGTTGACTTCCACACCCGGCTCTCGTCAGTCACCGAACTAAGTGGGCGTGACCCTCTTACAACGGCCTTATGAAGCAGCGTTCCCCCCCCGTGGCAGTCCCGGGTCGTCATGAGGATATAGGTACTCGCAGTCTGCCCCTTCCCGTACGCTGCCCAGACGGCCTTCCTCGTCACCCGCCTCAACGGCATCCACCAGCCTCTGCCGGGGAAAGGGAGATGGGTGGCCGTGTCACATAGATATTTATTCTTAATTAGGCTTTGCTGTTCCCGTAGTGATCGCTGCTGTCATGATCAGTATTATTTTAAGTCTTATTATCATTACTATCTTTTTTGTGTTTTTTGTCGTTTGCTTTTAATATTAATTCCCCTTCCTTCATGACTATTGCCAATTACCCTCACTATCACTAACAACATTAGCTTAATCACAATAAGCCTTACCCTCACACAGAATCCATATGAAGGTCAAGAAAAACAGTCTTACTTACTCTTGTTGCTTCGGACTCAGACATTCTGCGCACGTTCCAGTCCGTTCATCTTTATTTTAGATATCTGAAATAATATAAGCGTATTAGTATTGGTACTTATGTGTCCCCTTTGCTGTCTATTTGTTGAAACGGAACTGCGTAAACGATGGGGATCCGCCTGGCCTACATACCTCATACCTCATTCCACGTCATGTGGCCAGTAGAGGAAGCAACAGTTCAGTGCCTTGCTTGCCGTGATAAAGAAAAAAGGAATATTTGTCCTTATTTATTTTCCTGAGGGTCTTGCGTACATTTTTTTCAGCTCTTGAGTTATCGCATAAGTTATTTTCTCTAGCGGTTTCTGGTACCACAAAACGCACAAAACGTTTTGGTCAGTAAACTGTTCTTGCAACGTGTCTGCAGGATGCATACTGATAGTGGATACTAATTGATCGCTGATGTTTTGCTTTCACGTGAGAGGTAATGGACGAGGAAATTAGAGAGATGCCTTTATATTGTAGGCTTTTGACAACGGATATACTGTCCGTAGAATAGCAAATGTTGCCTATGCACGATATCTATAATGTCTCGATATAGAAAACGCAATGTTCATTTTGTTATTGCTGTCACAGTTAGCCAGGTTTTATATCGTCCCATTCTTTTTTACGCTAAGGGAGACAAAAAAGTAAACAAATGCTGACATGGAAAACAAAGAAAGAAAATCATCTCTCTCCTCTCTCTCTCTCTCTCTCTCTCTCTCTCTCTCGTCTCTCTCTCTCTCTCTCTCTCTCCTCTCCTCTCCTCTCCTCTCTCTCTCTCTCTCTCTCTCTCTCTCCTAACCCCAATTTCCTTACTCTTTCGCAAGCCCTGTCCATTGCTTGTAGAAATTCTTCGTATTAAGTTTGGGGCTTGCGAATAACCACGTGATGCAACATGCAAGTGAACAAAGACATGAGTGAGATCCTGCATCGTGCATGCGCTGCAGGACGCGCCGGGGAGGAGGTGAAAGGAAGGGGTGGGGGTAATTCAGACCTTGAACTTTGGTGTATGTGTGTGTGTGTGTGCACATATGTGTGCGTGTGTTATCTATGCATACTGATGTACATATACATGCATATATATATATATATAGATATATATATATATATATACACACATATATATATGTATATATATGGTAGAAAATCCCACAAAGCATAAACAAGATTTATTAAAACACACACACATGCACACACATACACCCATACATATATATATATACACATATATAGATATAGATCTATACACATACATAAATACATATTTGCATGTATATATGTATATGTGTATATATATGTATGGGTGTACACACACAAAACACACACACACACACACACACACACACACACACACACACACACACACACACACACACAACACACACACACACACACACACACACACACACACACACACACACAATATCTATATACATGTATATATTATTATATATATATATATAGATAATATATAATATATATATACATACTATATATATATATATATATTAAACATATATATATAATATATATAATATATAATATAATATATATATATATTATATAATATATATATGAAAAGGAGGACCAGGACAGCAGGAACCACATCATCGCATTTTCCATTTATGAGCTTATTCGGACATGCAACAACTGTTGTCCCTCATCAGAATCTGCATATATGAGAGGCAATACATTTGTAAAAACTGTACATTAATACTAATATATATTACAGCGAAAAAAAAGAAGCAAGATACACTGGTAACACAATTATATTACTAAAACTAATGGGAAAATACAGTAATACACAAAACAAAAAGATGATTTGCTTCCACTTATTCTCCTAGGTGGAATGTGGAGTATGTGACTGCTGTGTCATTTTTGCGTAACGACAGTTTACCGGGAATTTGGAATTCTGATGTCCGTTATATGGGTGCGTGGGGGAGTGGGGGGGGGGTGTACGTGTGCAAAGTTATTTTAAAGTATAAGCGAGTATCTTGCTTAATATTGATTATGAATAATGATTCTAAGATCCTTAAATCATTAACCTCTTTTTACTTTTCTCATTACTGTGATATCATCTAATTTCACATTGTATGGTTTTGTTTTAAGACAATGATCTCGAATTAAATGAATAGGTAGAGAGGATAGTGGACGGAATGTCCGTAAGAGACCCCTTTATGCTCACAATATCTTATCATTAGGTTCCTTGTTGTTTGAACCCTATAGATTCTATCGTTACAGCTAGAACATTTATATGAGTACACTACATTTGTAAAACATAGATGTTTTTGGGACAGTCTTTTATCGTAAAAAACGAACGTATAGTTCTGGAATTATTGAGATCAGTCTGAACTAATTTGTGGGAAATGGTAATTCAGCAGTTTCTGTAAGTTTCTTTTCGTAAGATAAAGCTAGTTATGTTCCATAGTACGGTAATTTCAGGTACGGACATATCCCTAGGCAACATGAATTAATTGGTTTTGGCAAAGCATCTTATTTAAGAAAAGTACCTTATTTGTTTTTTGAATAACTCCCCAGAGGGAATTTTTTTCAAAAAGAAGGTTTCTAAGAATTAATTTCTCGTTTTTTTTTTTTTTTTTTTTTTTTTTTTTTTTTTTTTTTTTTTGATTTTTTTTTCTTTTTTTTTTTTTTATAGATGCCAGTCCGGCAGATTTTGAAAACATCTGTGCAACAATGTTCTATTGCATTAACTTTAAACTCAAGAGGTAGGAAGGATAAGTAAGTTTAAACCAAGAACAGTGAAGTAGGTTTCTGTACCAGAGGTTTTAAAAGGTGTCATGATCGTGATCAATCTAATATCCAGAAAGGCAGGGAGTTTTTTGACTTAACTTCCAAAGTAAATGTATGTTTGTCATGTTTAATTAACATATCTAAAAACAGGTTTATATGTGAGGCACACTGAACAATAGGAATATGTCTCACATATCTTGTTTACAGTAGTGTTTAAAATGGGATGTGCTTCTGCTATCCATTTACTCTCGTTATAGCATAAAATCATTCGCGAGAGTTGGGCCTAGCGGGCTTCCCATGGCTCGCCCATCGGTTTGGAGAGTATAATTGGTTTGTAAACCTAGTCTTTCCACAGATAATTTTAACAGTTTCATAAATTGGTCTTTTTGTGAAGTTATGCAACTTGTCAGTATTTTTTCAAATAACGATTTGTACAAATATCCTATTGTTTCTTTTCAAGGGTATGGTTTGGTAAATAATGACTGTCCAATCAAACTCTGCCATAATACCAGGACTTTCAAACTATTTGTGGACATCTGTTTAGCAAAATCAAAGAAGTTTGGACAGTGTATTCGTTGGTAGTAATAGGTTTGAGGATTGGCACTAAAATTTGGCTAGATTGTAGTTAAAGTTTTTTATAGCTGACAATATAGGTCTAACTGGTATATCGGGTTTATGAAACTTTTTGGTAATTCCATATATATCCAGGTAAGAGGCCAGATGCTCTAAGTTGGTTATATTTTCCAGGAAATGGAGTCATTATCTTTCAGATGTTTTTTAACATTCTTTTAATTTATCCTCTAACATAATATACTTCGTAAATGGCTCAGTATCTAACTTCTAGCTTTGGTATGGGCTGATAGAAGTACATTACTTTTATTTCCTTTTTACTTTGTCGAGGTTTGGTAATAATGATGTTAGGGGGTCAATTCTTTAAGATTTCAAAGCGTTGTGGATTGGCTTTGCTAAAGGATGGTAAACAATTTCTATGTCTTTTGAGAATCGTAAAAGATCTCATATGCTAACTAGCAATTTTCCTCAACAGTCATGTTTGTTAAAGTCAGAGTTGTCACTGATTTGGCAGTTATTGATGGTAATGACTATAGACGTTCAAACTAAACATGTTCGGAAAATGTAGGGGATTTACAAGGTAAAGCAAAATCAGACCGAATATTTAGTAGTTAGGTTTCATCCTCAGATAGTTTCTATTTGAAATGGTTGAATCTTACTTTGCTGCTTTCGACCTCCTATTCTGGAGTTAACAAGATCTTTATCGCTGTTCCTCGTTAATAAACATTTAAGGCAATTAAAATCAATGAATGAAGTAAAATTTCTCAATTCTTGTAGTAATAAGGGATACTGAGCACTTTCATAAGCAAGTTGTTTAGTTTTTTTCTCTAATTTCATGGTTAAGAGCTTGAAGAGCCAGGATCTAGGATTTTTTCACACAATCTGCTCGGACGGGCATTCTATGAAACTCGAGAAATTATTTCTTAGAAACTTTTTTTTGAAAACAAATCCTCTGCTGGCAGTTATTCAAAACAAATAAGACTTTTCTTAAATAAGATGCTTTGCCCAAAACCAAGTAGTACATGTGTCCTCGGGATATCCGATACCTGAAATTTACGTAGTAGTACTGACATATATATATACTAATATATATACACTGATAAATAAATAATATACACATACATTATTTACATATATACACATATATATAAACTATATATAATATATATTTATATTATATTATATATATATATATATAATATATATATATTATCATATATATGGCACATATACATGCATATATACATGTATCCACATACAGAAATACTTACATATCTACAATACAATGCATACATACTATTACATATACATGTATATACATACATAATACATAAAAATAAATCATAAATATATATATATATAGATATATATATATTATATATATATATATATACAAATATATGTGCATATACATACATAATCTATATTATGCTATATATGATATATATATATATATATATATACATATAGATGTATGTGTATATATCTATATATATATATTATATAAGATATATATATAGTATCATATATGGCCATATACATATATATATATATCTTATATATATTCTATATATTATTATAGGTCCATATATATATATATATATATATATATATAATCTATATATATATATATGTCCATATACAGTATATATTAATAATATCATATTATATAATATATATGATATAAATATATAGATATATAATTCTGTAACGCAAAGTAAGTTCACGTTCGGATTACCCTCGTCCCTCCTCCCTCTCTCTCTAAATATATATATTGAATTATTATAACATGATATGTATATGTATCTATATATTTTATATATACCTATATATACCTATATCTTTATATATATATATATCTATATATTATATATATATCTATATTATATATATATATTATTTTATATATATTTATATATAGTCTATCTATGATATATATATATATATATTATAATAATATATACATATTTATATAATATATCTCTATTATACATATACATTATATATATATATATATATTATATAATCTAGATATAATATATATATATAATATATTCTTATTAATATATATATATATATAGATTATATAATATACTACATACACACACACACACACACACACACTGTGTGTGTGTGTGTGTTTGTGTGTGTTGGTGTGTGTGTGTGGTGTGGTAATCTATAATATTATATATATATATATATATTATTCATAATATATATATATAATACTACATACACAGACACACACACACCACACACAACTGTGTGTTTTGTGGTGTGTGTTGTGTGTGTGTGTGTGTGTGTGTGTGTCTATATATATATATTATATATCTATATATATCTATAATATATCTATCTATATATAGTTATATATTATGCAGAAACCACACGGTGTCAGTCCTTTGTAAGAATTCATCCTCACTCTAAAAGGATTTATGGGAGGATATAGAAAAACGCTTAATGGACGCATCCTTAAAGACGTAAATTAATGAATAAATAAATAATAAATTATGATTAGATATGATAAATAATGACACTGTCAAAACCGATACAGAATCGCGTGTTATTTAATATTCAGCTATGATCACTTGATCTCTTCACTTAACAAACGTTGTTGTTAAGGAAATTACCGACGTACCTGCAAAGTTTCAGGACGCAGAAAACATAACACATATCGATTGGCAACTGCTGGATGTTCCATGTGCAGTTTCATACGAGGTTTTCTTGCATGGCATCAAACATTGTGGTCGTACCGGAACACCAAACTTTCAGGCTAATAGTCAGGTAAGTTTGGGTTTTTTTGTATTAATTCCATGTTCAGGGTAAAGTGTTGCGAAAGACGGGAAATGAGTGATAAGATTATTCCCATATTTCAAGATAATTTCTGTATTTTTTACCTAGCGTCCCTGGCAGCGCTTACTAAGGACTCCTTTCGCCTGGTGCAATTCCCTCCCCCTCCCCTCTTCTGCTCTCTCGTAAGAACAATATCAAAGCTATCAGACAGATAAGACGGTGGCTGCCGGTAGCCTTTATGTGTAATAGTGAGAGAATGTGCAGTCTTCACTTCAGATTTCAGTCTTTCAACACTTTCCGCGGAAAGCGAACTTACATTATTAATCCTTAGCTTTAGTGTGAAAAACAGCGATGCTTTTAACATTCACGACGTTTTGTGCGAACTTGGCATAGATATTTCTTATATGTTTAATTGACAAACGACGATGGCGTAAAACTGCAACGTGGACATCAGAACTAAAAACTCATTATTGAATATATATCTAATATTCCCCCATCCCCTTCACCCAGCCCCCACCAAATGCAATCTATTCATGGAGGAGCATAGATAGGTGACCCACCTAACTCCTGCCATTTGCCACAAAAGAGACTCTCAGACTAAGCAATGCCAAATTGTGGACTGATCAGCAGCCATAGATCGTGACATAGAGCAAGGGTTAATGAAGGGCGGTGCTAATCGATATGTATAACCTTGGCCTGTCCGTCCTACTGACAGCCAGAGTGTTATGTAAAGATTCCTAAATCATGTACAAATATCCTGCATCCGAAATCTAACTCGCAGAGTAAAGCATTCAAGAACGATGATCTTCAAAAAGTGTTTATCAGCTCTTCCTCTGATTATTATGAGAAATATGAGTCCGCTGGACTACAGGAACTATAAAAAAGAAGAAGAGAAAAAAAACTTTGGCACTATTTGGCACTGTAAAAAACTGCTAGATCATAAGATCCATAAATCCCACAAATTCTATAACGGACGATTATAGTCTTATCTTTTGGTTATTACTGTCTAAAAGTTGACTACATGTGCAAAGGTGAGTATTATGGCAAAGCGCGTTCATTCAGGTCTTACGGCATTCAACAACTGATGGCCCTTACATTGAACTCGGCCGTTTTGGGTAACTGTTTTGTTTGCCTGGTTTTTTCCTGCCTTTATAAAATCCATCTGTCTCAGTATGCCTTCTGGCGTCTGTCCCTATCTGTTTTTCTGTCTGTCTATTTGGTCCTCTGCTGTCTGTTTCTCTGGTCTGTCTGGTCAGTGAAACCCGTTCTCGCTCTCTATCTCTCGCGCGCGCGCATTTTCTCTGCGTGTCAGCGGATTTGACAATAACGGATTTGTCCTGTTCCGAGATCCGGTTACTCGAAGCTGTGCCATTTTTTACGAGAGATGGCGTCACTGGTGTATTGTATGACCGTCAGAGCAAAGCAACAATCACGCCACCAACCTACAAACAAATCGGAAATGAACGAATATCCTGTGTACCAAGCATGAACCCGACTGTGATTTAATTTTCCTCTTAAGGTCAAGTTTCGTTTGCAAAGACCAATTTTTTTACCTTTTATTGTTGTGGGTTTTGCTTTGTCCAATATGCATAAACAGTTCTCATTTTGGCTCGTATTTCACCTATGTAGAGGAATACTATTTTTTTATCATCCATCATCTGAATCTCCTTGAGTTGCATTGTGTGTGTGTATGGTGTGTGTGCTGTGTGGTATGTGTGTGTGTGTGTGTGTAATGTATAATATAATGTGCTAAGGTATATCTGTATATCACACACACACCACCACACACACACACATACCACACACACACGACAACAGCACACACACACACACACACACCACACACCACACACACACACACACACACAGAGAGGACACCACACACACACACACACACTACATATATATATATATATATATTATGATATATATATATATATTATATATATATATGTTTACTATATATATATCTTAGTAATATATATAATATTAATACTATATATATATACATACATAATACATACACATTTATATACATATTACATGCATATACCATATATACGTATATATTTTTATTTTTTAATATAATATACATATATATATATATAATATATTATATCTATATATATATATATATATATATATATATATAGTCCACGATAGATGTTTCCACGAGGGAACTGGACGCACGCACACACACACCATAAACCACACACACACGCCACACACACACACACACACACACACACCACCCACACACCCACACCCACACACACACACACACACACCACACAATATATATTTATATAGATATATATTGATAATTTATACTAATATATATATATAAATATGCGTATATTTCTACATACATAATATATATATAGATATATATATATATATATATATATTTGAATATATATATATATATACTATTTAGACATATATACATGTAAATACACATGTTCCACGGGGGAAATGGAACCGGAGGACCAGGACAGCAGGAAACCACATGATTGTGCTTTCATTTATTTAGCTTTCCGACAGCAACAGCACCTTTGTCCATCATCAGAATCTGCCTATCCCACAGAAAACACATTTGTAAAACTGTTTATATAGTATATAGTCCAGTGATACAGTGAAATTAAGAAAACAAACTTGTTTCTCTTGTTGCATGCCAATTCGTGATGCTGATACCAGCTGTTTATTTCCGAAAAGCTAAATAAATGAATATGTACATGATGTGGTTTCCTGCTGTCTTGGTCATCCTGTTTATAATACATACGTATATATATGTATATATATGTATATGTATATATATAGATATATTAATAATATATTATTATATATATATATATATATAATATTTTATAATATATATATATGTTGTGTGTGTGTGGTGTGTGGTATGTGTGTTGTGTGTGTGTTGTAGTGTGTGTGTGTGTAGAATATATATATATATTATATATATATATGTTATTATTATATATATATAGTATTATATATATATATATGTATATATATATCTATATATATATATCTAGATATATAGTATATGATATATATATAGATATCTATATATATATATATGTGCGTGTCCGTGTGTCGTGTGTGTGTGTGTGTTTGTGTGTGGTGTGTATGTATATATATGTATATATATATATATATATATACTATAATATATATATAGATATATATTATATATATATATATATAATAGATATATAATATATATGCATATACACGCGCCGCACGACACACACAACACACACACCACACACACACCACAATCAATATATCTATATATCTAAATATTATATACTATATTCTATATATATATATATATATATATATATCATATATGACTATATATATATACATATATATATATATATCTATATATAATCTATATATATAATATATATAGATATAATATATATATATATAATATGTATATGTTTGTTTGTGTCTGTGTGTATATAATATGTGTGTATACCACACACACACACCCACACACACACAAACATATATAATATATATATATATCTATATATATATATAATATAGATATATATACACACATATATATAAACATACACACGCGCAACTCACCACACACACACACACACACACCACACACACACACACACACACACACCACACACACACACACTCACACACACACACACACCCCCCCCCAAACAAAACCCCACAACCCACACGCACACACACACACACACCTGCGCGCGCAGACGCATGCACACACACTTCCAACTTTTGTAAATCAAAAATGCTTTCGGAGCATTTTGTTTTCTTGTATTTTTTTCGGTTATATTAACTACCCTTTGAACTAAACTCAATTCCCCTCCACGAGCTTTCCCATGCCGTTTAGCAACCTCGGATTTTTTTTTTTTTCACTCCAAGCTAATGGAAATTTTGCATTCCGTTTGTACTCTTCGTTGTCATTTCTGTGTGCGTCGGCTATCGAAAGCAATTTTGTCTACTTTATATTTATATGTATTAAAGGCAAGAAAATTAATAATGTATTTTGTGTATCGTATTTGGCTTTCATATAATCCATATCCTTTCATTTCTTTCTAGTACCATCAGATGACATGCCCCTAGCGACTCCGTCAGTTACTACATGGCTACGTCACAGGGCACTGGAAAAGCCGAAGTTTTACGGCTTGTGACAGCCCTGCGCAGGATATGAAGCGTGGCTAAGGAAACTTCCCATGTATCGATACTGTAATCTGTGTTGTTTTGAATCTTATATCTACTGGATCCTCTTATGTAAAGGAATGCGTCTGTTGCTAATAGTGCGTTTTAGTTTTATGGTTTAAGTTCTTTGAATATTCCTATAAGCTATTTGCTCTGATACCTCTTGTGGGTTTAATAACTGTAGGATTCAGGGATTTATACCAGTTCCTCCCCAATAAGGCACAATAGATTAATGTGAGTAAAAGTAATAATACAGATGTTGTAAAGTTCTCTGATTCATACATCCTTTAGTCCTACAACAAGATATGATACTTCCAGCTTCAATTTATTACGTATGTTTATCCCCCAAAAGTTTACTTGGTTTGTTATCTTGGTTTCCTAATTTTTCCCCATATGTGCTTCCATCTTTCTTTCTTTATTTACTTTATTTGTTTATTTTTTTATATGTCCTTTCCAAAGTTGAGCGGATTCCTATACTGTTTGGAAAACTTTTCACTCGTAAGAGGCCACTTAGTTTAGAGCTTTTGGAGTCTGTTCCTCTCATTTGCGTGATTTTTTAACGATGCTCTAAATGGTTCCCTGTTTGTTTAGCTTTAAGTTTGAATTCATTTGATGGAGAAATGTTTGTAATTACACTGTAGATTTCGAGAAAAA